CCCGCTTCATTCTTCCCCTCCCGCTACCTTCTTCTTCTTCTTTTTTTTTTCTTAACATATATTGCATTATTTGTTTCAGAGGTACAGATCTGAGTCTTCTGCCCATTTTTAATTAGATTATTTGGGGGGGCTGTTCAGTTTTATAAGTTCTTTATATACTTTGGATACTAGCCCTTTATCAAATATGTCATTTGCAAATATCTTCTCCCATTCCACAGGTTGCCTTTTAGTTTTGTTGATTGTTTCCTTCACTGTACAGAGCTTTTTATTTTGATGTGTTCCCAGGAGTTTATTTTTGTTTTTGTTTGCCTTGCCTCAGGAGGCATATCTAGAAAAAAGCTGCTAGGGCCAATGTCAAAAAACCCACTGCCTATGTTCTCTTCTAGGATTTTTATGGTTTCAGGTATCCAAAATAGATTTTTTTTAATTGCAGCAAAAACATATCAAATCTAATTAACCCCAAGCTTCTCCAAATACAAACATATGCGGCCTCTATATCTGCCATGTTACTAATATATATGCAAGGCATAATACTAACAACTCTATATGCTCTAAATTTTTTTAATTTTTTTTATTTATTTATTGGAGAGAAAGAGAGCACAAGCGGTGGGAGCAGGAGCAGAAGGAGAAGGAGACTCCCCGCTGAGCAGGGAGCCTGACACAGGGCTCAATTCCAGGACCCTTAGATCATAACCCAAAGGCAGCCACTTAACCCACTGAGCCACCCAGGTGCCCCTACTCTAACTAATTTAAAACTCAGGAATCTGTGGTGAGGATTATGATTATCTTCATTTTATTTATTTATTTATTTTAAAGAGAGAGAGAGAACACAAGCAGGAGGAAGAACAGAGGGGAATAGAGAGGGAGGGGGAAAAAATCTCAAGCAGACTCCATGCTGAGCACAGAGCCAGACGCAGGGCTCGATCTCATAACCCTGATATCACGACCTAAGCCAAAACCAAGAGTCGGACACTCAACCCACTGAGCCACTCAGGCACTCCGGGATTATCCTCATCTTAAAAATGAGGAAACAAGTACAGATCAGAAAATTTACTCAAAATCACATACCTGATTGTCAAGTCTGGGATTGAATTTTATGCTACCTATAAGTCAAAAGTTAGCCTATTACTGTTTAATGGATGCTGACAGAAGACAAAGACTCCTGCATTAGAGACAAAGAAATGTATTACTCATAAGAAGCAGCAAGAGAGGGCGCCTGGGTGGCTCAGTTGGTTGAGCGACTGCCTTCGGCTCAGGTCATGATCCTGGAGTCCCGGGATCGAGTCCCGCATCGGGCTC